TAACTTATCGTGACACAGTCTTAGCTGGCCCTCTGATCATTTGTCCTTAGCAAGCTTACTCATACTATACACATTTTGCTCCAATGTTTTGCAAATAAGAAAGCAAGATTCTTATTCAACATTTAATCAACCTCTAATTACTATTGCTGCCTTGTGCCTCAACTTGCTCGATTCCTTGTCCACGCTGTTACTCGGCAGACTTTCTAACCCCCAGACCGAAGGTCTAGATTTCTCTCATTTTCCTTGCAATTTCCTGTAGTTCCGCCTCACTGAAAAAATCCAACGGCGTGGCTTCCACCCCCGCCTTTGCGAGTTCACAGGTCTTGATAATCCACTCGTGCTTGATCACATTGGTCCATTGCTGAAACCAATGACTGGGCGTTGGCCCAAACTCATCCTCCCATCTGATGGCCTTTTCGCGCGGCTGGTGCATCGGAGGCCGCCTCTCTTCCCTAAGCCTCGAGATTTCATCCCTCTCATCCCCGCGGCTGATTTCTATGATTTCTTGTACATCCTCTTCCTCATCCTCTTCATCTTCCGTCCGTATGAGGCTGTAACCGCCTGTCAAGTTCTTTGGATCGTAGGTATAGGGGATTTTTGTCCTTGTCCCATACCCTTCTTCAACGTTAGGATCCCTCCCTTCACAACTGTCGTGGCCACTCCGTCCTTCAAGCGGACTTTTCCTTTTCTCCTCACCCTCCTCATGCTCGTTGCGCATGCCCTGTCTCCCCTCGCTTTCCCCATGCCAAGACTCACGTTGTTCGCTCCTGTTGGCTCTTTCCTCGTCAGAGGCCTGTGCCTTGTCTCCCATGTCCGCTTTGCCCTCTTCTCCCACACTTGTCCTTTTCTCCTCGCTCTCACTCCTAGATGAGATATATATACCTTCTCCCTCTAGGAGGGGTAAGGGTCTTCTACATACGCACTTTCTTCCTCCCCTGCCTACGACTGTCCCGGATATGAGCCCAATGTACAACTTTCTCTTCGCTGTCCTCCTCCCTCGGTTTGGTCCCGCTTCCTCCCCTTTGGTAGGCCTGTTGATTGCCCCGCTGTCGTTCTCGTTGCCGAATTCTATTTTTACTTTTTGTTTTTTTCTTCTGATTTTTCTTCTAGGTCCTGTATAACAAGACAACCCCCGCAAAAAACCCTCATACACCCGTTTCCCCAGTCCGGTAGGCAGCTCCCCTTCCCCAGAATGCTCCCCGTATCCTTCGCATCATGCCATTATTATACATTTCCCTCCCTTATGAAAATGCCCCGTTTGTTATGATCCCATTATTTCCCTGTCAAAACTATGATACAATGCTCCCGTCAATCCTTCCCGTTGTCACACAAACCCGTTACCGCAAATTCCCAAGTCATCTGCCTTCCAACCTCAGTCAGTCCATTCCATTGTCCCAGCCCCCCCAAAAAAACGACAGTCCCACGGACGCAGTCAGAGATAAAACCATAGTGTCGGCAAGGTCGTTGTCAGTCCTTAGCTTGTTGCCCCTCAGTTTCCTTATCCTCGACCTCCTGAAGCCATTGCTCCACTGGGTCCCGACTTAGAAACCTGACCAATCGTTGCCCCGGGAAGGGTCCTTTCAATCCAGTTCCATCCAAATCTTCCAGTTCGAAGGTGTTCAGTCCCACCCGCTTGGCGACCCGATAGGGGCCTTTGAACCTCCTCGCCAGTTGTCCAGACCAAGTACTTTCGAGTGCCGAATTCCTCAGCAATACTGTCTCCCCCACCTGAAGTGGCTCCTTTTTCACTTTCTTAACCTGGTCCCACCTTGCTTTGTCCCTCATTCTGTTGTCTAGTACCCGGTTGGCGATGTCTTCCATGACCTCTTCGTTCCTAAGGACTTGTTGACACCTTGCCTCGATTAACTCCTCCGTGGTCATTCGCGGATCATCATTTAACCTGTTCCAGTTAGGTATCAAGGCTTCGACAGGAAAGTCGATCTCTCTTCCGTACCAAAGTTCTGCTGGAATACATCCCGTTGTCCTCTTAGGTGTCATGTTTTCTGAGAAGACAGCCTGCTTGAGATACCTAGGCCAACTTCCCAGATGGTCCGCTGCGAGTTTCACAATTGTGTTCTTTAAGGTTCGGTGCCCTCTTTCCACAGGTGCATTCGCCTCCGGGTGATACGGCTCGATGAGTTTGATCGGTACGCAGAGTTTCTTAAGCATTCCCAATACTTCTTGGTTCACAAATTCAGTCTCATTGTGTGCTATAAACCTCCTGATGCTCAAGTTGTCTTGCGCATCCAGGATATACCTGTACCCATCTGTTGATACAGGCATGACCGGAAGGTCAAGGTGGACCAGATGTCCCGGTCCTAGCACCCGAGTTGGTCTAAGCGGCTCGAAGACACGTCTCGAGCTCCGTTCCTGACAAATTAGGCAAGTCTGGCAGTACATGGCGACCATGCCTGCCATGCCTGGCGAATAATAGAGTGACGCTATCTTTGCAAGAGTTTCTTTGGACGATCGATGTACTCCTGATTATCCGTCGTACATTGCCTGGATAAGGTCTAACTGCCTAGATCTTCCGCACACAACTCTTCTAGGCATAGCACCTTCCTCTCTTCGGAACAGATGATCACCCCTTAGGACGTACCTTTCGGCCTCCTCCCTTGCTTTAGTGTTGACTTCCATGGGTTGTTTGTTCCCTATCAGCAACAACCCGACCTCCCAAAAGATCCCTTCGTATATCTGGGCATGGAAAAACTCCTTTCCTTCCTGGTCCTCATCCTTTCTCTCCTGCATCTCGTTTTATCATCCATCGCAACTCTTTCCTTTCCCAAGATTCCACTAAGCTCATCACGGCTTCCCGGCCTCCCTCAAGGGCCTCAACCGCCATTGCTATTAGTTCCTCCTTCGGTCCTACTATTGCTCTCCACGAATCTCTCTCCTCTTTACGACCTCGAGTGGTTCTGCTACTACGGCAGGTGTCCCCTTCTCCAAAGTCCGGATCAAAAGTTCTTCTGACGTGCATTCTTCGCCCATCATTTCGTTATCCACCGCAAGAGTTCCTCCGTCGTATTAAAGGAACGCGTCTATGGGTTCCGCATCCTCCACCCCTTCAGGAGTGATGCAGACCCGACTCAGTCCATCTGCCTTGTTTCTGATTCCAGCAATTCGTTCGATCTTGCAATCGAACTGCCAGAAAAATCATACCCATCTCCCCACCGTCGGATCGATAGGCCTGTAGTTCTTTAAGGCCCCTGCAACATTCGTCGGATCGATCCTTAAGATGAACCGTCTCCCAAATAGGTAGGCCTGGAAGGTCTTGAGGCAATGTAAGATGGCTAAGACCTCCTTTTTGAACTGCGAGTACCTCGGTTCTGCGGAGTTCAGGGTTCTACTCTCGAACCTAATTGGCCTCTCTTTTCCTTCCTCATCCCTTTGAATCAGTACGCCTCCTACGGCCAAGGGTCCTCCATTCGTTTCTAGGATGAATGGTCGTCCTACCTCATCATTAAAGCAGGGTGCCGACAAGGCGACCTGCTCCTATGTCAGTATGTCCTTGAGGGTTTGGACGGCTCCTCCGTCCAATCCATGGTCCCTTCTTCTCTGATCATAGCTCGGATCGGCTCAGCAATCTTGGCAAAATTCTTAATGAAGATCCTCCAAAAGCCGACCACGCCTAGGAATGCTCTTACCTCCGTTCTCGTGCGCAGGGGTGTTGGCCACTATGATATCTTGTCTGTCTTCACCGGATTTGGCTTCCTACCGTAAGCACCGCAGCGAGATCCTAGTATAGTTACTTCCGGTATTGCTAGAATACTCTTTGGTCCACTAGCCGTGATGTTGTATACTAGGAACCGGTGGAGTAAGTCTTTGATGTCTTGTACGTGGTCCCATACAAGCCTTCGGATTCCTGGCTGGACTTCTGTCTCGTCCTTCTCCTGCGCGCCTTTGATCGGATTGTCATCGATGTAGGGCTCGCACTTCTCTGGGAACATGTCCCCGGCTACGGCGAACATTCTTCATTGCGCTTTGGCTACCGCGTTCGTAAAACCCATAGGGGTCACCTGCATCTGCAACTGGCCTACGGGGGTGTGCATTGCGGTGTACGGCCTGTCCCGGACATCCAATGGAAGCTGGTCGTACCCTGAATACAGATCGACCAGGGAGTAAATGCTCCAACCGGCGTGCGCTTCTGCTAATAAATCAGCCTGAGGTAGCGAGTCAGCATCCCGGATGGTTACAACATTCAACTTTTGCAGATCCTGAATCCACCTTAGTGTCTTGTTGGGATTCCGAAAGGACGAACCACCGGTTTGCATATGGCGACGCCGTAGGTTCTGCGACGAAGGAGTCCATCTTTGCTCGAAGAAGGTCTGCCACTTCCCCCACTATCCCAAATTCATAGGTCGGACCCTTGTCATTCCAACACTTATGCTCTACCGTGTGGATTCTGACCGGAGGAATCAGCTTCGCGTCCAGCCGCCCCTTTTGGTGATCACTAAAGGCAAATGCCAGGTGAAACTCCTGGCAGGTTTTTTTTATCAGGCGGGTTTCTTCTTCCATTAAGAATCCGTCTATCCCTATCTTCATTGTGCTAGTTACCTCGTCCGGTATCCGATGCCCTTCCGTCACTCTTCTCTCTTGGATTACTCGAAGGACTTCCTCATCCTTCTCCATAGCATCGTCCTTTGATATCGCTAGCAGGATCGAGACCGACTTTGCCTTCTTCCCTACCGGCTTGTACTTTCGAACACGTTCTTCCGGGATCTTTCTCCTAAAAAATGAACGACCGGGATTGCCCTCGTCGCCTCTACGATTCGTGGTTGAATACTAACTAATTTCCCATTCAGACAATATCCATTTTGCACCTCTCCTTCGAATTTGGCCAAGGCCGCCGAGTCCACTCCTACCTTGTGGTATCTGAGGGTCTTGATGAGCTGTAACAAATCGGGGATTTCGAGTGCGACTTCCAGCATGTCCATGCGTACTTCTTTCCGTTTGGGCAGGCTGGCACCGAGTTTGACTTCTGACTCCTTTTCTGCTACCATAACACCTAAGACTTCGTCCTCCTACTTCCTCTTCTTCTGGGGCGGGCCCATCTTGATCCATTCCTTCTTGTTGAATGCCTCCTCAATCATAATTTCTACCCTTTCTCTCAAGCCCTCCATCCGCGCGAAAGCCCCTTTTCGTGCGCTATCTTCGAATGACGGCGACCATGTTGCCAACTTTCCCATCGGAGGATCTTCTCCCGTCCCGAGGAGTCGGAGGAGCTCACCCCGGCCGGTCACTGGGTCCTCTATGTCTACCATGTACGCGCCATCGTGCAAGTGCATGCCTATCATTTCTACGTTTCCGCACCATGGTCTCTCGAGGATTATGTCGTGATCCATTTCCTCTATTACGGTCATCTGCTGAAACGACCAGATCGATTCCCTGACGCCTGCCTTGACTGCGCACTTCGTGACATACCCAGCGAAAGAAATTTCCCCACCGGCTCCTCGGATGCTCCCTGTTACTTCCTTATTTACCGTACAGTCCGTGATTGTCGCGAAATCTCTCCTTGTGAGAGTGATTTCCGCTCCCCCGTCTACTAATGCGTCGGTATGATGAGTCCCGATCTGGATTTTCAACTTCCCTACGGGTAGCGCGTGGAAGCTGAGCTTTGTCCCAGGAGGTGCCCTCATGACTTTGCCACCTTCTCGGTCTACCAAGCTCAAGCGGATGTCCGCAAAGGCCTTCTCGAGATCCTCCAAATCCCCGCGACTCCTTTGAAGGTTAACGGCTTCTTGTGGCGCTTCCTCCTCTTCTCCTCCTTCCGACGATTCGGGGTTTTCGTCTATCTCTACTCGCCGTCGCGTCAACAATTGTCTAAGCCCTTTGAGCAACCTAGGGTTGGCCTGCAGCAGGGTCTGAAACGACATCGATACCATGGTTCCTAGTAATTTGCTAAGGGTGTCGTCGATCTCAGGCATAGTTAAGATCGGGATTTTGTATCTAAACTTCTTTTTAGCAGCGGTAACTTTGTCTGTAGGCTCCTCTTCCCTTGGCTTCCCGTAGACTTTCTCTGGTTCCCCGACCTCGGGCTCTGCCTGGGGCACGGAGCCTCCAGCAACTTCCTCCATTACGGTGTCACTGATAATTCTTCTCCCAGCCATCCCTAGTCGAGTGGTCGCGTTCACCCTATCGTGTCCGTCGTTTTCCCAAATGAAGTTGACTTGCGGCCCGCGGCCCCGAAGTTGATCCCATATGATATCGACCACCGGCTCATCTTCTACGACTGTTATTTCTAGCCCATTGAGCATGATAACAGCTCGCCGCATCCCCCCTAGCGAGTTCCAATTCACCCGTTCTCCCTGTGGTCCGAATATCTCTCCCTTTAATGACCTGGTACATCTCCTTTTTAATATATCATGGTTGAGTTTTGGACATGCACGCACATAATGTCCCATCGTGGTGCAGTACTTGCATTGCTCGCTAGCAGGATCTCTCCGTCCGAATCCTTGATTGGTTACGCCTGGCGGACCTACGGCTTTCTTGGGAGGGAGGGAGGGCGGGTCGGGATACTTGCGCATGCATAACCAGTAGCACGTTCTCTACCCTTTCAATCTTGTTGTCGACTCCGTGCACTCGTTCATGTAAATTTTCAGTCCCCTTTTTTACCTTGTCGCCCGTCCTACCGGTCAGATTTATGACTTCCCCTTCTTTGAGCAAGGCTAATATCTCGGTCACTACAGTCTTTTTGGCCAGATCTGTTACCGTATTGAAATCAACATCCCTGGTGTTTACGAACTTGCTCGTCTGTTGGTAAGCCGACAAGATCTTGTCTTTGTCGAATTCGGAGAACTGCCTTAGGAAGTACTTACTCATTATCCGGTCCGTGACCCCGGGGATCCTTAATGCTACTCGGGTAAATTCCCATAGGAAGTCATCGTACGTTGCGAAGTTCTTCCTTTGAACTGCTGCTAAGTTGGCCTCTGTTGCAATCTTCTCCGCCACTATAAATTTCCTCATCATCACATCCCGGATCTCCTTCCAAGACCGGCTCGCGGCCACAATGGCCATTACGTCCCGCCCTAGGCTCAATGACACATGCTGTCCTAGGTGGTCCATCTTTTCTTCTTCGGTCCATTTCAGCAACGCATCTAGGTTCTCATAATCGATTAGGAACTCCGTGATGTTCGCCCCGTCGAACGTCAACTTTTTCTTAGCGTCCGCTAGGTAGCCCTGATTTTTATTTAGTGCTCGCTCGAGGGATGATACTATCTTCCTAAGGCCGCCTTCGGAGCTACTGGCCTCGCCCGCCATACTGGTATCCGGTCCTTCCTTGCCGGTCTTCTGTCCCTCCCTAGTCTTTGCAGTTCTTTTCGGGTCGAACCATCCCAACACCCTTTCCCTGAGACTCCAGAGCCCTTCACACCCTCGCGTTACCGCTGGCATGGTCGGCAGGCGGCTAGACCTACTATCTATGGCTGGTGGGTTCGTAACTTTCTCCGCTTCCATCCCCGGAGAGTTATCTCTCTCTTTCCTTCTTTTGCTCGGTGTTCCCCCACGGTCACTACCCTTATCCCCTTGCCCAATTCCGCCTCGTTCAGTCCTCCGTTCGTCCCGCGGTTCTTCCTGCAGAGGGCATTCTTCGTTCCCAGTCATCATTTCCTCGATCAATCTTGCCTTGTACTCCACGATCCTTTTTTCTATCTCCGCTAGTTTGCGCCTCGCATCCATGACCGTTACTTTCTTAGACACAACTCCCTCTGAATTCTGGGAGCTTGTCCTATCCTTATTCCTGCCCTCCTTGGTTTCCTGAGTCCCTTGCCTGCTTCCCCCGGCTTTCCCCGAGCTTTCTCCTGAGGAGATTTCCTTCCGGTTCCCTTTGGTACGATATGGATTTATCGATTTTCTGTCTTTCCGCCCCTCTTCGCTTTGTACGGCACTGCCTCCTAAGCCTGGTCCTCCTTCGCTCTTATGGTTATCCATCTCATCCTCCATTGCCATTTTGCCTAGTTCTACATAAGCCAAAGGATTCCCAGGACAAACGCAGCGCGAGGCATTTTAGGTTCCCTAGGTTCCAGCTTTGTTGACTTATCTTTATTCGGAAAAATAGCCTTCTCCCCATTTCCGTTTCCTGATTGCTTCCCTGAGAAGAAACCACGTCTGGCTCTGCTGCCTTACCGAGCTAAATGGGTGTGACTTAGTTTCCTTTATGACAGGCTCATTTAGAGCGCCCTTGTCCCGTCGGCCGATGCGTAGGAGTCCGGGTTAGGCACCCTGCTAGAGAAAGTTTTCTCGAGCAGTATTCCCCCTTTTTTTCTCCTCCAGGGTCATGGCAACCATTAGGAGTCTACCCTCCCTCCTTTATTTTCTAGCGGGTTTTGATCGTCCGGGTCCGAGGTCCCTTCTTATTTCCGTAGCGACGATACTTGATTTGCCCTATTGGCCCGCCCCCGAGTGCTAGTCCCGTTCTCGCCCTCGTGGCCCTTCCGGCTCGGTAGGCTCCTCGAATAGTTGAGTCACCCCTGCTAGACAACTCTCTCCTATTTCGATTTCCCTTTGGATTATGTGTTCGTATTCCGCCCAGGCTAGCCGTGGCAACCCAAATATCAAAATATGGATAACTTCCAGTAACTCGCGGACCCTATTTCCCCAGAACGGCCCATGTTCCACAGAAACATCGTAGAACATCCCGATCGTCTGAAAGGGGAAGTGGTCTACCCAGACTAGTCTGCCAACTCCTGTACCCTCGCGACGCTCCCGAAGATGAGGTCTATCATAAATCGGGGGACTCGGCACCTCAGCGGTGTGGTTGGTGCCCTGAATTCCCTCCAACCTCCCATTTCCACCCTGGTAAGTAAATCCATGTTTCTCCTACCCCTGACTGATTGTCCTATCCGTGTCAATACTCGGGCCGCCCTCTGAAAGACCGGAGCCAACTTGTGGCCTTGCGCTATTCCTATCCCCAATAAGTGTAAGCCAACCTCGGGTAGGTATAGGACTCTGGTTACCTCTAAATTGGAGAACATATCATCCCCAGGCCCTTGGTTGAGTCTCATCCCCGTCCACCGACATTCCACCAACATGAAGGCGCTGTCTCTTCCTAGGGTCATGGCCCGCCATTCTACGTCGAAACCCTGGAAGTTGGAATTTGACGAAAGGAACACTTCCCATCGCCCGCCGTTATTCTAGGGCGGTCCGGGATACCGGGGCTGGCGCTCCATTCGCACACGTCTTGCTGCCATTGCTGTCTTAGCATTCCCTGCATAGTCCACATAGAAAGGATTACAGTCGATCCTCAGTAAACGCCCACCTACTACCCCCTTACCCTTTGTGTTCTCATTCTTCTTCTCTGGTCCTAGCTATTCATCCATATCCCCACGAGCAGCAACCTCCGCTGGCTGCTCGTACAGCCGGTAAAGGTCATCTATGTAGGTCGCGCCCCGACCTACTTCCCGCCTGATGACTCCCCACATGGCCTCATCACTTATTTGCGGAATCCCTGGCCTAGTATTCACTGCTGCCCGTAGTATGCAAAACACCTCGTGCCCTTGTTCGTCTTCAAAAGGTCTCATCTCTAGGAAGGCCCGATAGTATTCCCGATACATCAATGCTTCATCAACATTTAGCCTAGTTATGGCAGCTACCGCCTGCTCCACTCGCTCTATGCCTCCCATTCGTCTTAGTAAAAAGGGTGGTAGACTCATGCGTATGACCTCATTTGGCAACCTAAAGTCCCCTGCCGCGACGACTTTTACCTCAGCCGTCACGTCATCTCGTTCTGGATTCGCGAACTCAAACCCCTCCCGCCAGGTTATTTGCCACGCTCCTTCGAACATTCGCACGAGGTCGTCCCTGGAAGCCAAGGCAATCCCAAAGGCCCGCCATCCTTTCTCCAACAGGTGTAGGGATCTTGTCGCATGTACACGCCCTGGGAGGTCCAGATTTAAGCCCCCGAACTCCCCCCTCGCACGCCATTCCAACTCTACTACTAGATACACCGTGTCTTCCACCAACTCTACCCCCACCCAGTCCATTACCGGGTTACTTACCACATTTCTTGTCGGCAAGCTTATTTCGACCCTGCCCCCTGATGCTCTGGGTGGCAGGATCCCGCGAGGCCTATCCCCCCAGAATGTCATTTGTCAGGCCATCTTGCAACGTCCTTTTTCCTGCTCCCTTAGTCCGATTGTTGCACCCACCGAGATTCTGTGTCTTTCGTGCTTTAGTCCTTCAACACTCTCTACCTATCGTACACCGGTTCTTGCCGCTATCCCTGCCCCATATACGTACAAACATTTTTTCCCTTTCCTGGTTGTTAATACCTCCCCCTTGTTTTCAATCCCCTCGCACCCCCTGCTAACTAATCTACACGCCCCTTTCTTATGTTACACCCTAATCCACATGCATCCTCCATACTTTGACCTCCCCGCGACGTTCGATTCCTCGCCCCTTTTTAGTCGAACCACAGTACCTCAAACAATTTAAAAACATCATCCACGTAGGATGGAGCGGTCGCCGCCTTTCGGCTGACTATAACGTCCCAAGCCTCCGCGTCTACCTTTAGGCGGTCATACTTGCCTATCCTTAGGACAGTGAGGATCTCCCCGGCTTTGTCTCCGTAGAAGGGCCCGTATTTTAATGAGATCTTATAGAACTCCTCAGTCAGCTAGGCACACTCTATATGCACTTCTTTCATGGAGTCGACTACTTCTTAAATGTGCTCAAAACCCCCAAACCACTCGGCTACGAACTCAGGCACCCAAGCCGTTGTTCGTAGGCTGGGAGGCTTGAGTTCCTTCCATCCTCCCATCACAATTCTGCTACTAGCTTCGTCCCATCCCTCGTTGGCGAACCTCTTGCCTTCTTTTCGGGTTTGCGCCTCTGCATCCCTAGAAGCCACATTCGATCATGTCCCGTTGCTAACATAATGCAAAATAGGCGCCACCCGTCTTCGAAAAGAACGACCGTCCCGAATAATTTTACCTTGCCTTTCGCTATCTCATCCCAGCCTTCCTCTTCCCTTACCGCATTCCAAATCCTCTCTATCCGTACATATAATAGCCCCCGGACAACCTCAAACCCAACCCAGTCGCACGTGGTCCCCCTCCACTCGTTTTCTGTCGGTATAGGCAATATCTTTTTTTTCTTGATGGTGATTCTGATCTCCTCCTCTGAGTCGCCTTGGTTCCCAACCCTTGAAGGTGTATTCCATCATCCTTTCCTCTCTAGTCATCTTTCTCCTTCCTGCACAATACCAGGTCACCCGTTCTCCCTAAGTTAAGTTACCCCACCCCCCTTAGAAGTCTTCGTCCTCTATCTCATCATCTTCGTCCTCATCACTGAAGTCGTCCTCTTCGTTATAGAACAACTCCTTCACCCCTTGCAGAAATGTCTCCCCTATTGCCACATTTTTTTAGACTATCCCCCAATGCACAGAGCTAGAGACAAAAACATTGTCTATGCTAAGACAGTTTAGTATCTCGGTCAGCTCGTCCGCCCAGTTCCCCTCGAACAGCCCCATTTCTACCGACAACCGAAAGAAATTTTGCCTAGCGCACTAGTATAGTCCAAGGTTCATCATGGACTGGCATATCCGTACTAACCTGCTCAGGGTTCCAAAAACCGCATCCACTAGGAAGGGAGGCAGCACACATCGCATGGTTCTGACAGGTCGCCTCATGCTTCCTCTATCCCCAAGTTCCACTCGCACATCTACCCTTTCCATTTTCATTTCCCTCCGTTGACACACAACCCACACAACCTCCGCTTCTGACTTCCTAAACAACTCGTCCGGTGTATTCGCGAGTGCCAATTCTATGACCATAGCATTCTCCCCACCTTGCGACAAGTAGACCCACCCCCGGGCTTCCACCGTCCTTCGGAATTCCAAATCCATTAAACTTGGCGACAACCTCGTCAAGCTGACATTAGTCCATACTGTCTCTATCCAAAGAAATGCGTTCTCCCCTTTCAGCATTGCCGTTTGATACGCTGGTTCAAGGTCCGTCCACGCTCCATCTTCCGGGGGGACGACCGATACCCCTTCCTTCACATCTATTGGCATTTCCGGGCCGCTGGTATAGATCGGGGAAGGCAACCATCGCTCCATCTTGTTTCCAAACACCCGACCCCTATTTTCATAAAAGAGCGTCAACCGGTCCTCCTGGTCAGGTCAACCCTTGTCCTAGATGATAATTATTTCAGACCCCTCATCAAGGTCTCCCTAATTTACCTCCCCATTCCTAAGTACTTCTTCCCGTAATACCCTCGGTCGGTCATCCATTTCCCCACATTCTTTCTCTTGGTTCCATTTCAGTTGATCTCTATCCTCCTTCCTTCCGATCATCTCTTACTCGTGAGGACTTAGATGGGGGGGGTGGAATAGACTTAGAAATATGCCCCGTGCAACAACCCAAGCTCAATCAACCTTTACAGAGGGGGAACACATAAAAAAAATCAGACAATCTCACATACGGGCCGGTCATCTCCTCACCGACCATCCCCAATATGGTCTCTCCGCTGGTACTATCGGTAGAGTCTTATCCCATACCTCAAGCGCAGCTCAACCGTCGCGAGCGCGGTACCCAAGCTCCGAGAAGGAAAAAGTCTAAAAACCTAGTCTGTCGGTGCCTCTTATCACATTCGTCGTGCGCTTGGGCAAATGGTTGTGGGTTGTTTCTTCGGGAAAAAAATCTAAGAACGTAGTTTGTCGGTCCCCCTTATCTGTCTTACCGTGTAATTGGGCAAATGGTTGTCTAAGATTGGTTATGTGGGATGTTTCTTCAAGAAAAAGGTCTGAAAGCGCGGTTTGTCCCCTCGCCTTTATCTGGCTTACCATGTGCCTGGGCCGAAGGTCGGCTAGGCTCCAGGGCCTAAACGGCTACACACTGACACTCTGAGCAGTCCCCACCTTCAGATAGTCGGAAGGGTTTGGTTGGGGCCTGGTTTGAGCCTGAGTGTTGGGGACGGAAGCAGAGGCTCGGACGGACATCAGTGTCGGCTAGCAGGGGAAAGTTGTGGACTGGGAAGCTTGGTG